TGGATAAACCAGCTGCGGTCCCTCCACACCATGGACTCCTACTCAGAAATAAGAATAAACTACCTAGGGCCGGCCCCATGGCTTAGCAGTTAAGTGCACGCGCTCCGCTACTGGTGGCCCGGGTTTGGATCCCGGGCGCGCACCGACGCACCACTTTTCCGGCCATGCTGAGGCCGCGTCCCACATACAGCAACTAGAAGGATGTGCAGCTATGACATACAACCATCTACTGGGGCTTTGGGTGGGGGGAATAAATAAATAAAATCTTTAAAAAAAAAAAAGAATAAACTACCTACACTTGCTCCAACATGGATATGTCTCAAAATAATTATGCTGAGTGAAAGAAGCCAGACAAAAAAAGAGTACCTATAATAAGATTTCATCTCTATAAAATTCTAGAAAATGCAGTGTAGTGACAGGAAGCAGATCAGTGGTTTCCTGGGGACAGAGGTGGGGACCAAGAGGGAGATTGTAAAAGGGCACGAGGATGATGGACAGGTTCACCGTATTAGCTGTGGTCACAGTTTCTCAGCTGTATGCACCTGTCAAAGCCGAGCAGATTGCACACTTGATGTCAATTACAGCTCAGTAAAGCTGTTAAGAGAAAAGGAACTTCCACTGGCTCCCGTCTCACCACAAATCAGAGCCAGTGTGTTTAGAAACGGCCCCAGCCTCTCCCACCTCCAGACCTCCCTCTCACTCCCCTTTTACCAAACCTCAGCCCTGAGGACCTGCTCTGTCCGCAGCCTCGCTGCGCTCTTTCGGTTCCTCAAGCCCTTTGCACCTGTGGTTTCCTTCTGGATGCTTTCCCCAGCTCTTCTGTGGTTCTCTCCTTCTTACCCTTGGGGTCTTGGCTTGAGCATGGTGTCCTCCTCCCTGATCACTTGTCCTCCTCCCTTGGTCACTACCTTGTCACCCTGTTCATTTCCTTTTCAGTGCTCATCACATCTCTTATTAATTTGCATCTTTGCTTATTGTCCATCTGGCTCCTGAGTGCTGGGACCTTGTCTGTCTTCTCACCACTGTGTCATAGCCTCAGCTGAGGCCTGGTGCAGCAGACACTGACTCAGCTCAACAAGTGGCACTAACACACATTTGTGGAGTGGGCCACCTGCCAGGTGGAAACTTCCTCTCAGGGCCAGCCTCACTTGGAGACCCATCCCCTCCTCAGTCCATGTAACTAAGCACCTGCTGTGTTCAGGCACTGCTCCAGGCCTCGAAGCAGTGAAGAGAGCAAACAAAACCCTTGCCTGCAGCCCTTAGTTTCTGCAGGGGGCAGTGGAGACAGACAACAAGTAAAAGGTACAAGGCAGAGGACATCAGACAGTGATGAGGGTTATAGAGAGAAACAGAGCAGAATTGTGGAACCACTGGAAAGCAGTGATAATACCAGCTCCTGCAGACACAGGCTTCTCCAACGTCCCCCACCCCATCCTCCACTGAGCAGCCCCCTAACCTCCCTGTGCCTCAGTTTCCTCCTCTGTAAGATGGGGTAGGATGACAGTGTTTCCCTCCCTCACCAGCTGTGAACACCACAAAGGGTCATGCAGGTGGGAGTGAGCACAAGCAGCGGATTCCCCCTTCCTTTTTTCTTTCCACCACTGTTTTGGTTTTTTATAATTTTATTTATTTATTTATTTATTTTCCCCCAAAGCCCCAGTAGATAGTTGTATGTCATAGCTGCACATCCTTCTAGTTGCTGTATGTGGGACGCGGCCTCAGCATGGCCGGAGAAGCGGTGCGTCGGTGCGCGCCGGGATCCGAACCCGGGGCCGCCAGCAGCGTAGCGCGCGCACTTAACCGCTAAGCCACGGGCCGGCCGTGTTTTGGTTTTTTAAAATTAAGATACCATCAATTTTTTTGTGTGTTGTGGTTTCGATTCAAGCCAGGACTTTTGCGACTATGGAAAATCTGGGAATCGCAGCCCCCCGCCAAACCATCTTGAACAGGCGGGATGAAGTGTCACCCATTTCCCGGAGCAGGACGTGGAGGCCGCTAGGGCGCGAGGGACCGGCGCACAGACCCCGGGCCCACATGTCATGAGCCTCCAGGCCGCAGGCGGCAGCAGCGGGCGACGGGGCGGGTTACAATGTAGCGAGGGCGACAGGGCGGGTTACAATGTAGCGAGGGCGGCGGCGTCAGGTGAGCGGCAGAGGGGGAGCCGGGCGGGCCGAGGGAGGGACAGGGGGTGCTGGGGTGGAGGGAACGGGGACGCTCGGGGGCGCGCTCGGCCCGCCGCGCCCCGGAGCTCGGGGAGCCCCCTTTCCCGACGCGGACACCGAAGGGCCAGGGGGTAAGCGACCCGCCGGAGGCCCCGGCCGGCGTCCGAGGCAGGATTCAGACCCGCCGGGGTCGGGAGGCCCACCTCCCGGCCCTCAAACGGGCGCAGGGGGCGTTGGTGACCTCAGCTGCCCCCCGCCCAGCTCGGGCAAGGTTTAGCACCGCCGATGGGGAGTGGCCTCTGCAGGTGACACTGTCACTGCTTCGGGCAGTCAACACTGCGCCGTCTGTGGGATCCGTGAGGCCCGCAGGGACCACCATGGCTGTGCCACCCTCCACTGATGCTGGGCCTCTCTGAGCCTCAGTCTCCTCATCTACGAAATGGGCAGGTGTGGTGGAAAAGACCTGTCCCTAACCGGGTCCTCAGAGAGTATGCCTGTTGTTGTGGGTGAAGGTGGGGGGGCTATGTTTTGGAGTGGCCACTCTGCCAGGCTTCAGGGACAAACAACCCTTAAAGGGACAGTAACCCTGCCCCCGTTCCTGGCAGAGTCCTGGCAGGCCTCCTTCCAGATATGAGCAGATAGGTTGTACCTTTTCCCCTGCCCCCACCAGGGGGAATTCTTGCGGCCTCTGGTGGCGGTTGGGGTGATAACAGGACCTCTTGGTGGCCATACCACAGGCAGGACATGGCAGGCTGGTTCGGTGTATCGGGAGCACATCTGAGCTTCAACCCAGTGTCCTTCACTGCCCCAGAGACCCTGGGCTTTATTCTGATGTTTCCTTTAATTGCTAAGTCGTGGCGTCCTCTCCCCCATGAGAAGGGGCGGGGGTCTCTGGAGGAGGGCAGAGGGTAGAATAGCAAGTTTCCTTCCTTCTCAGTCTCCACCTTCCTGCCTGTTCCTTTCTGAGGCCGAGCCTGAATTCTGGGTGCAGAGTTCTCTGTGGGGTGAACCTGGCGGGGTGGTGGGGTGGCTGGCGCTCTGCTCAAAGTCGACCACTGCGTACTGCATCCCTGGGGCCCATGTGTTGGGACATCTGTCTGCCCTTGGCAGCCCCGAGGGATATATAATTCTCCAGCTTGGAAGGAGAGAAACTGAGGCTGAGAGAGGTCAAGTGACTCCACTCCTTCATTCATCCATGGCCTCTGTATCAGGCCTGGGGCTGGCACTGCCTGTAAAGAGATACATGAAAGCTGCTTTTTCCCAGGAAGGTTGCGGATGGGAGGAGACCTGCTGGGAAGAGCAGAGGCCTTCCTACCTTTGAGCTCCTCTGGCCATATTTTATTTTATTTTATTTTTTATATATATATATATTTTTTGTGAGGAAGATCAGCCCTGAGCTAACATCCATGCTAATCCTCCTGTTTTTGCTGAGGAAGACCAGCTCTGAGCTAATATCTACTGCCAATCCTCCTTGTTTTCCCCAAAGCCCCAGTAGATAGTTGTATGTTATATTTGCACAGCCTTCTAGTTGCTGTATGTGGGACGGGGCCTCAGCATGGCTGGAGAAGTGGTGTGTCGGTGCGCGCCCAGGATCCGGGATCCGAACCCGGGCCGCCAGTAGCGGAGCGCGCGCACTTAACCCCTAAGCCACGGGGCCGGCCCCCATTCTCTGGCCGTATTTTAAAATGCTGGGAGGTTTCCAGGGAAAGACCCCTGGGAGTGGCCCCTGCAGTCCCTTGGGGTTGAGCTGGTTGTCAGGTGATGACATCGACAGTTTGCTTAGCAGCAGCTCTGGGATATAGGCTTCACTGCCACATACAAGGACTTCGTGCTTCCACCCACCCTGAGAGGAAGGCATTCTCCCTTATGTATGGGCAAGATAATAGCATCCTGTAGCTCATCACGGGGAGAGCCAGAATTGAAATCGGGGCTCTCTGATTCTTGATTATAATAGTAACAAGGAAAATAATAAGTGTAGCCGATATTTATTCAATGCTTCCTGTGTGCTAGCCAGGGTACTCAGAACTTTGTATTAACCAATTTAATCTTCACAATAACCCTATACAGTGGGTACTATTATTATCTCCATTTGAAACATGAGAAATTGAAAGCAAAGAAAGGTTCAGGCATTTGCCCAAGGTCACACAGCTAGGAGCTGACAGAGCTGGGATTTGAATAGGTCCAATTCATCTTATTACAAGGCTGTTAGGGTGTTCAGTCAGGATCTGTTTTGGCTGCAAGAGACAGAAGCCCCCCCTCCCCACTCCCCCAATAATAGCTGTTTAAACAGAAGTTTATATCTGTCTCACTTGGATACAGCCTGGGGGTGAACAGCTCAGGGCTTCCAGGTCACAACCCAAGGTGGCTGCTCCAGCTCCACCCATTATATCTGCATTCCAAGAGGCAGGAAGGGCTGCAGAGGGGCAGTCTCTCCTTTTAAGAGCAATTCCCAGAAGTCTCCTGAGATCTTTCTGTTCACATCCATTGGTCAGAATATAGTCTTGTGACCACATCTAGCTTCAGGGAAGTGGGAAATTATGTGATTAGCCAAAAATCAGAGTTCCCCACTGTTAAAGAAAAATAGACCTGGACAGTCATTAAAACAGTAAAAACAGATTTTATTCAGGACTATTGCAATAGGGGAAAAGAGATCTCAGTGTACAACTGAGCTCAACTCCAAATACAGCACACAGGCAACTGGGGATTTATAGCCAAGGAGCAGGGTGGGGTCAGCGGATGGAAAAATTCCAAGAGGAAACCTCAGGGGTCAGGGGTATTCTGGCTGAACCGACCTAACACGGTGCTTATTGAAGGCAGGCCAGGCTGTCAGACATCACCTGGGGGTGGTGGGCGATGAGGAACCCCATCAGATATGAGGGTGACCAGATATCAGGGTGGGAGCCTCTTGCTAAACCGACTTAGCAGAGTTCTTGCTAAAACTGGCTTTTATAAGGAAGGGCACAGATGGGCCTCAGAGAAGGTTTGGACCTGGCTGCGTCTGGTTGAGCAAAGAATCTTTGTCGCCACTTGGGAAGAAGGGGTGAGTGACTACTGGAACAGCTGGATCTGTACTCTGGGTGCTTCCTGGGACACTATGGTACCTGCCGTCTGGGGATGCACTGGGCATCAGGGACTGACCACTCTGTGTGAGCTGCCCAAAGCCATCAGGTAATAAGAGAGAGGGGGACTTGAGCCCATGGCACTTGTGTCCTCCCATTCTGACCCAGGGCAGCCAGTCAATGGGTGGTAGGTTCAGCCAAAGGAATTCCAGCACAGAGGCCAAACAGGCAGGACAGGTCCCACGGTGGGTGTGGGAGTTCCTGACCCCAGGTAGAGGGGGGGTGACCCTGGCAGGGCCATCCCCTCTGGGCTCAGTTCTCTTTCGCATGGGGGGTGCAGATAGGAGTCATAGGATTGTCTTTTATAATTACAAATTATTTCAGACTGTAAACAGGTACAGAGAAAGCATAATCAAACCCGACTTACCACAAACCTTTAAAGAACATCTCTCTGACTTCCTGTGAACTTGTTTCTTCTGCCCTGGAGGCAGAGAGGCTAAGGAATGTGGCCCAGCTCGGTAAGTGGGGGGACCTGGGATGCGGACCCTCCCCTGGCCAAAGCCCCTTCCTCCTGTCTGGAGCCATTGGCCCAGCGTGTTCTGCAGTTTGCTGACATCTAAGGAAGGGAAAAGAAGCACTTCCTGCCTGTCTCCTGGGATCCCGAGGCGTGGGGCCCACACACTGACTCAAGCCACATGGGGCATCGGTGGGAACCCAGGCCAGTGAGGTGCTGGCCGGCCTATGTGATGATTAAAGAGCATCCGGCTTCCGGCAGGGCCATGGTGCTGCGGGGGCTCCAGGAAGAGGGCCCTGCCCAAGGCCACACTGCAGGTGGCAGCGCAGGCCTGGGCCCTGGCATCAGTGGCAGAGTGTTCAGCACTGCACCCTGTGATGGTCATCACTGACCGTTCTGCTCAGGGGCTGTGGTTTTGGGGTGCTCTGAAGGGAAAGGAGCACCTCGGGTCAGGGGCTGGGACTGAGTCCAGGGTGCTGTGTCTCGTGGGAGTGATGGAGCTTTCCTCCTCAGTGACAGTGAGGCCTGGCTGGAGGTGGGCCCAGGCCGCAGGCCGCCTGGCTGGGCACCCTTGATAGGACAAGTCTCTCCTAACCTTGCATCGCCTCTGAAACCCCAGGACCTCAGTGAGCCTGGGAGCTGGATGCTCATCTCTGCCCTGCCCACCCCGCAGGTGGGATGCTATGGAATATGATGAGAAGCTGGCCCGGTTCCGGCAGGCCCACCTCAACCCCTTCAACAAGCAGCTTGGGCCGAAGCAGCATGAGCAGGGGGCTGGTGAGGAGGCCCTGGACATCGCTTCTGAAGGTGGGTGCTGGGGAGGAGGGCTGTGTGGGCAACCCACCCCCTCCCACCGCCCCCCCACCCTCTCACCCTGGTTCCTCCCGTGGAGCGTGCTGGCTGTCTCCCTTTTCTCCACAGCACAAATCAATTTCCACTGTTCTGTAGTTTGCTTCTGTCCCTGCATTAGAATGGACACTACTGAGAGCAAGGACTTGTGACCATCTCGTCACTGCTGTGTCCCAGGGCCCAGCACACAGCAGATGCTCACTCACCTTGAGAGGTGAGCTCTGAGCTGAGGTCTGGTGGTGGGAGATTAGCAGGCAGAGTGCCCTGTACAAGGCCTACTCCTCTGGAGGTTACAGCGGGTGCTCGGGGCCCAGGGGTGTGTGCAGAGCTGGCCTGGAGTCCAGAGGGCTCAGGAGTTCTGGCGTGTCACCCTCTGGGGCCTGTCTTGAATCCGTATTCACATACACAAGGCGTGTGCCTTAGAAATGGGGTGTTTCCGTAATACTAGTTCGTGGACCTCTTTTTGTACTGTGAGTGTCTTTCCACCTCATCTTTTTTTTTTTAAATGCACACGTTTTATTTATTTTTATTTTTATTTTTTTATTTTTTGTGAGGAAGATCAGCCCTTAGCTAACATCCATGCTAATCCTCCTCTTTTTGCTGAGGGAGACTGGCTCTGAGCTAATATCTATTGCCAGTCCTCCTTTTTTTCCCCCAAAGTCCCAGTAGATAGTTGTATGTCATAGTTGCACATCCTTCTAGTTGCTGTATGTGGGACGTGGCCTCAGCATGGCCGGAGAAGCGGTGGGTAGGTGCACGCCCGGGATCCAAACCTGGGCCGCCAGTAGCAGAGTGTGCACACTTAACTGCTAAGCCACGGGGCCGGCCCTCCACCTCATCTTTTTGTTTGTTTGGTTTTTTTAAAATTTTTTATTTTTTATTTTATTTTTTTTTGTGAGGAAGATCAGCCCTGAGCTAACATCCATGCTAATCCTCCTCTTTTTGCTGAGGAAGACCGGCTCTGAGCTAACATCTATTGCCAATCCTCCTCCTTTTTTTCCCCAAAGCCCCAGTAGATAGTTGTATGTCATAGTTGCACATCCTTCTAATTGCTGTATGTGGGACGCGGCTTCAGCATGGCCGGACAAGCGGTGGGTCGGTGCGCATCCGGGATCCGAACCTGGGCCGCCAGTAGCAGAGCACGAGCACTTAACTGCTAAGCCACGGGGCCGGCCCACCATCTCATCTTTTTGAATGGCTCTCTTCTGCCTACACAAGGATACCTTTGCAGATGCAAACAGGGCAGATGCCAGGGTAGGGCCTGGCTCCCCTCAGCACCTCCTGTGGGCTCCCTGCCTCCCGGAGAGCCCTTCCACCCCTGGCTGCCCCAGCCTCTTCCTGGGGAAAGGCAGGCTGACTTTTCTCTCTCTCTGCTGCCCCCTACACCTGCACCCCCTCCAGAGGCCCTGCCTCAGCTGCCCCCTGAGGAGCCGGAGTTCCACTGCACTGAGCGTGTGATGGATCTTGGTCTGTCTGAGGACCACTTCTCCCGCCCCGTGGTAAGATTCGGGGTCCTGGGGGAGAGGGACTGGGTGAGCCCCCGAGGCATGAGGGGCCAGCCATTTCCTCATCAGCCCACTCCCAGGCAGCAGGGCCACGTCCACCTCAGCTGGGTCTCCTGGGCCTCAACTCTGAGGCCATGGGACACCTGACTCCCACCCCCAAAGCCTGTTTGGAGGCCAGTGGAGACAGGCTGGACCTGGGGTTTGGGAACCTGGGCTGCTATTCTCATGTAGGGCCGTTCTTCTCCACTGTGCTCCACGTTCCTGTGAAGCAAATATGAGGGCTGATTCCATCTGGGGTCCTGGGAATCCTGTAGACAAGCAGGGTGAGCACGAGGGAGGGAGAGAGGGAGACCCCACCCACCTCCCACCACCCTTTCTCCTCGGCAGGCCACTCTCTTCTATATTTTGTTCCACAGAAACCTTTTTTGTTTTTTAAATAATTTTATTTATTTATTTTTCCCCTAAAGCCCCAGTAGATAGTTGTATGTCATAGCTGCACATCCTTCTAGTTGCTGTATGTGGGACGCGGCCTCAACATGGACGGACAAGTGGTGTGTTGGTGCGCGCCCGGGATCCGAACCCGGGCCGCCAGTAGCGGAGTGCGTGCACTTAACCGCTAAGCCACGGGGGCGGCCTGAAACCTTTTTTTTTTAAATAAAAGTGCTCTAATGATTTTTTTTTTAAAGTTTGAAAATCTTTTAGTTTTATGCGAACCATCTCCAACTTTTATTTGAGAGGAACATTATAGTAACATTGAAAGGTAACTTAAAAAAAGTTCACCCAGAAGCCCCCAGTTCTAATTTAATTTTCATTTTGTATGTGGCCTTTACGCTTTGCTGATACAGATAATGTATTTCCTTTATGTGTTTTGAATCTTTATTATAACGTTTTGAGCACCTCCTGTGGGCCACACACGGAGATCTGAGAGGAGGATTGTCACCTCTTTGCCTGGTCTCCTGGAGCCCCGGTGTGTTACAGGAGAGGGTGGCCCCGAGGGCAAGGTCCTCCCCAGCTCCCAGCTCTGAGGCCTGAGCCCGGCTGCCTTCCCCAGGGCACCAGTGTCCTGAGTCTAGGGGCTTTCCCGGCCTGATCCTGGGTCACTGTGAGGTGCTGGGGCCGGGGTGGGCGGGTGCCTGGGGCGTCTCTGGGCTTGGTGACTAAGTGGGAGGCCAATTCCTCTCCTTCACCATAGGCGAGTGTCCTCTCCCCCGTTTTCATCCCAGAGGAAGTTCTGTAAAAGTCAGAAAATAGCATAGTCAGAAAAGTGATAGGATTTCTAAAAGAAGGAAGTTGTGTTTTGAAACACATCCTGAATTAGGTCTCTGAGCCTACGGTAGACAGGTCCAGCTGAGGGGCAGGCGGTGTGGGGCGGTTCTGACTCGTGCTACTAACTCTCCTGGGCCCCCTTCGGTTTCAGTTTCCTTCTCTGGGCGAGTGAGGAAGGCGAAGGCTGCTTGGGGCCTGGCCTCCGCCAGGAAAGCATCTGACCGTCCTTGTGTCCCCCCACTGGGTAGGGTCTGTTCCTGGCCTCTGACCGGCAGCAGCTGCGGCAGGCCATCGAGGAGTGCAAGCAGGTGATTCTCGCGCTCCCTGAGCACTCGGAGAAGCAGAAGGACGCCGTGGTGCGGCTCATCCACCTGCGGCTGAAGCTGCAGGAGCTGAAGGTGGGTGCCGGGCCCATCCCAGAGGTGGTGGTGGGGAGCTAGGGAAGTCTGGAGGCTGGGCAGCCTCTGGCTCCTTCCCAGGGGCTGGGTCTCCCTCCGGGGGCTGAGGGAGAAGGCCACCCAGGAAGGCAAGGAGAGAGAGATGGACCCTCACCCACGTGCAGGTATTTCTCTAATAGTCTGACCTTGACTGGGTGTCCTGGGTCACGTGCCCACCCACTGTAGCAAGTGGGTGACATGAGTCCCACCTTGAACCACATGACCAGAGTCGGGGGTGGTTTCCTGAAGGTGACAACAGAAGGGGTAATGGATCCTGGAGGCCAAAAACCACAGGTGTCCACAGTGTCGTCCTTGAGTCTGGCTTGGCTGCACGGTGTCCCTGCCCTGGCTCATGAGTCCCTGGGAATTTAGAAAGTGGAAATATTCATTAGGATCTAGCTAAGGCTTGGTAAAAAAGACATCCCAAAATACAGTGGCTTAAAGAAATTAGATGTGTAATTTTACTCACATAGAAATCTCATAGGCAGTCCAGGGCCCATATGGCAGCTGATGGTGTTGGGCACCCCAGGTCTTCCTTTTTATTGCTCTGCCAGTCCCTGGAGGAATCCCAGATGGCCCCACACCACATCTGGGTCAGCACTCAGCCAGCAGAAAAAATGTGGGAAGGGCATAAAAGGCCCTGTTATTCCTGCTCATGTGCCCTTGGCCTCGACTTAGTCCTAGGGCAGCCTGGGTGCAAGGGATGCTGGGAAAGGGATCTGTAATCGAGCGGTCCAGGTGATCACTAGGGGATTGCTAAAGGCAAAAGCAGGCCAGACATTAGCGGAAACTCACAATCTCTGCTACAAATGGTGCCTGGAAGAAACAAGCCGAGGGGCTTGGGTACAGCCGGCTCACCTGTAACCCTTCCCTGGGCCTCTCTCCAGGACCCCAATGAGGATGAGCCCAACATCCGAGTCCTCCTTGAGCACCGTTTCTACAAGGAAAAGAGCAAGAGTGTGAAGCAAACCTGTGACAAGTGTAACACCATCATCTGGGGGCTCATTCAGACCTGGTACACCTGCACAGGTGGGCTGAGACCCCACCTTCTTCCTTCTGGGTGGGCAGGGCAGAGGCCCCGCAGCTCTGGGCTGTGTCAGGTGACTTGTCTACAGAGTCTTCGGTATTTACTGAGCCTGCAGAGTGCCGGGACACAAGGGATGAAGGACCCCATCTCTGCCTCTGCCTGGCCTGTGCTCACCTGTGCCCCTTCAGCATGTAGCCGCTAGCTGCGTGTGCTATTCAAACTAAAGTTAAATAATTAAAATCATGATTTAGCTCCTCAGTTGTACTAGCCATATTACAAGTGCTGAATAGCCACATGAGGTTGGTGGCTACCACATTGGACAGTGCAGAGACAACATTTCCATCATTGCAGAAAATTCCATTGGATGGTACTGTTCTGGATGAGAAATCAAAGAAGTGAGTGATATGATATGTTAGACAATATAGTACAGCAAAGAAAGAGAAGGAAAGGGAACTAGCATGTGTTAAGGAGTGGGATGGGTGCAACTTGAGGGTGGAATGAAAAGGTATCCTGTGACATTTAAGCAAAACCTTGGAGGTCAGGAAGCAAGCCAGGAGTATATCTGGGGAGGAACGTTCCTGCAGGGGAGCTGTCTGTGCAAAGGCCCTGTGGTCGGTGTGTGTCCAGTATCTTCAAGGAGGAGCAGAGTGTGGCTGGAGCACCACGTCTGAAAAGGAGGCATGGTAGGGTGGGCTCAGGGTGGCTGGGGGATTTTCTGTAAGTGCACTGGGGGCCATGGGTGGTGCTGGAGTACTCAGGTCTTAACAGGATCACTCTGGCTGCCGAGCTGAGTGTGGACGGCAGGAGGGAGTGCAAAGGTGGAAGAGGGAGGATGATGGCAGTCTGATCAGGGTAGGGTGAGAAGTGGCAAAGTGCAGCACGAGCTGAAGGACTGGGAACAGGGTGTAAAAGGGAGGGCCCGGGCAGGTGGAAGGGTGGAGTTGCTGGAATCCGCTATGGGAAGACTGTGTGTGGGGTGGGTTTGGGCAGGAAGAGCCAGGATTCCATTTAGACAGCTTAGGTTTGATGCCCGTTAGGCGTCCGGAGGGAATGGCAGGTCGTAGCCCCTGGACTTTGAGTCTGGAGTTGAGGGGCGAGCGCAGCTCTTGCCTTCAGGGAAAGCTCAGGGGACGGGGACTGAGAGAATCTTTGAATTCTGGGACCCACAGTGACGCCGGGAGAAGCCGTAAGATTGATCTGGGCACAGAGTAGAGTCCCCCTGGGGATCCCAGCAGCTAAAGGTCAGCCTGGGCTGCAGGATGCCCCCACTCCTAAGAGGCTCATTGTTGCCCCCCAGGGTGTTATTACCGCTGTCACAGCAAGTGCTTGAACCTCATCTCCAAGCCCTGTGTGCGCTCCAAAGTCAGCCACCAAGCCGAGTATGAGCTGAACATCTGCCCCGAGACGGGGCTGGACAGCCAGGATTACCGCTGTGCGGAGTGCCGGGCGCCCATCTCTCTGCGTGAGTGCTGGGAAAGACCAGGGTGCAGGGTGAGGGGAGCTGTTCTGAGAGGTGCAGACGGCGGCCAACGGCCATGTGAGAAGATCAGGTCCCTGAGACGGCTGAGGACAGCACGGCTCCTGAGCACCACTTCCTGCTCTTCCCTGGGGAAGCGACGAGCCACGGCTCCTGGCACCGTCTCACTTCCAACTCAAGCAGTCTGAGGTTCCAGCTCTGGTCACCTGGAAGTACCCACAGGGCCCGGCGTGCCCTCAGCGTCGTGTGTGTGGCCCCCTTGTCACAGAAAGCCCATGTAGGCGGGACTAAAAACCACACCATAGTCACGTACGTGCGTGTCAGGCCTTCGTCCTAGAGATTTATTGACGTTCATTCATGGGGTCCCCTCAGCAGTCCTGTGGCGGGATCCTATTATTGTCCCATTTTACTGATGAGAAAACTGAGAGCAGTGAGGGGCCCTGACCCACCTGAGGTCTCGAGGATGAGTCAGGTCTGGAGGATGGCACCCCGCCCAGCTGGCTCTTTTTTTTTTTTTTTTTTTTTGTGAGGAAGATCAGCCCTGAGCTAACATCCATGCTAATCCTCCTCTTTTTGCTGAGGAAGACCGGCTCTGAGCTAACATCCACTGCCAATCCACCTCCTTTTTTTTTCCCCAAAGCCCCAGTAGATAGTTGTATGTCATAGTTGCACATCCTTCTAGTTGCTGTATGTGGGACGCGGCCTCAGCATGGCCGGAGAAGCGGCGCGTCGGTGCACGCCCGGGATCTGAACCCTGGGCCACCAGTAGCAGAGCACGCGCACTTAACTGCTAAGCCACGGGGCTGGCCCCCAGCTGGCTCTTTAAGCGCGAGCCCTGGGCGCGGCAGGGCAAGGGGACCACGCCCCGCGTGGCGCGGAAGCCGTGGGTGTGTGTGTGGCCCGGACCCTGAACCCAGCCTCAACTTTGTAACCTCGACTTTGTAACGACGCGCCCCCTCCGCAGGGGGTGTGCCCAGCGAGGCCCGGCAGTGTGACTACACCGGCCAGTACTACTGCAGCCACTGCCACTGGAACGACCTGGCCATCATCCCAGCGCGTGTGGTGCACAACTGGGACTTCGAGCCGCGCAAGGTGGGGCGGCGGAGGCGTGCATAGGCTTGGGGGGATTAGGGTGGGAGGGGAGGGGGCGTGGCCCCGAGGGGGCAGAGCCTGCGCGCAGGCCCGGGGGCATTGGGGTGGCAGGGGCGGGCATGGCTCTCCTGCAGGTGCGGTGCTGGAGGTGCTGCTCCATGATGCCCCCCAGGTGTCCCGCTGCAGCATGCGCTACCTGGCGCTGATGGTTTCGCGGCCGGTGCTCAGGCTCCGCGAGATCAACCCTCTGCTGTTCAACCATGTGGAGGAGCTGGTGGAGATCCGGGTGAGTCTGGGGCCTGCCGCGGTGGGGGCTGACCCGCTCCTCCCCAGGTGTCGTGGCAGCCGAGGAGAGATGACTTGCTTAGGTTTAGCAGTGCTCCTCGGATGTTCTTTGGGTTAAAGACTTTAGGGCACCTCCAGTCACAATTTGGTGCTAGGCCCAGAGGCAATTTGAAATTTTCTAGTAGCCACATTAAAAACGTAGTAAGAAGCAGGTGAAGTTAATTTTAATAATATATTTTAGGGCCGGCCTGTGGCTTAGCGGTTAAGTGTGCCCGCTCTGCTGCTGGTGGCCCGGGTTCGGATCCCAGGCGTGCACCAACGCACCGCTTCTCCGGCCATGCTGAGGCCGTGTCCCACATACAGCAACTAGAAGGATGTGCAGCTATGACATACAACTATCTACTGGGGCTTTGGGGGGAAAAAAATAAATAAAATCTTTAAAAATATATATTTTATTTAACCTAACATAATCAATATACCACATTATTGAGGTATATTGTATTCTTTTTCTTTGTGGTCGAATTCCAGTGTGTATCCTTCACTTACAACAGTCTCAGTTAAGCCCAGCCACATTTGCATGCTCAGCAGCTACATGTGGCTGATGGCCACGCTGCTGGGTCAGCAGAAGGAGGGGCGGGGCCACAGGCAGTGTCTCAGGTGAGGTGGTGAGAAGGATTGGATTCCACTTAAAGGGGAGGAGACCGAGTCATTGCCAAGGCCACTTGGACTGAGGAGGGAATTGGGATTTCACTGGGAAGCCTGGATCCGAGCTCAGATGCAGCGCCATGCTGGCCCAGAGGCTGGTGGTGTGTGTAGGGTGGGCTGGGGTAGAGTGACCAAGGGTGAATGAACTTCAGGGTCCTGCCTGGCCTGGAAGCTGTGGCTTGAACTTGAGCTGAGCTGGAGCACTCAGATCTGGGACTGTTCTGGGGGATGTGAAGGCACTTCCTGTCCCCTGCTGACCTGGAGTGCCAGGTGGGATGACTTCCTACAAAGCTAGTGCAGGGCCAGGCCCCTCAGCCATGCAGTGGGGCCACGGCCCAGCCCCTGACCTTGCCGAGGATGCCAACCTGCCCCTCTCATCCACAGAAGCTGCGCCAGGACATCCTGCTCATGAAGCCGTACTTCATCACTTGCAAGGAGGCCATGGAGGCGCGCCTGCTCCTGCAGGTCAGACCACAGAGGCACCAGCCCCGGGTGGGGTGGGCAATCCTGGGGGGAAGGGCAGGAGGAACAGTCAGGGTGATGAGGACACATCATGCTCAGGTCTTTTTCAGATGACTTGGTAGCTTGTGTGTGCTGTGTCTTTAGCAGAGGGTCTCCCTGACTCTGTTCTAGGTCTATAATAAGCAAACAGGCATTCTACCCACAAAGGTGTTCTCTGATTACATTACTGTGGGAAACGCTGAGGGGCAGGTATCGTCTCTGCAGCCTTTATGTGAATCTCCATAGAGTGGACCAGGCAGGATTGACCGCAAAACCCACTTTTCAAGGCTCACCTATTTATTCGTTTAACAAATATTCAGAGTGCCTGCTATGGGCAGACCCTTGTCTAGATTCTGGGGAGCAGTGGACAAAATAGCAGGAATCCTTGCCCTCGTCTCAGAGAGCACCCTTCAGGTGGGGAAGACAAGAAGAATAAGCAGCAGGACCTCAAGGGGTGGTGAGGTCTGTGCACAAGATAAAGCAGGAACGGGGGTGGGAATGTTGGGTGGTAACGGGGGTCAGGACCAGGAGGAGGTGTGGCGTGCCGGGCAGAGGTAGGGTGTGCCTGGTGCCTCGGGAGCAGCAAGGTAGCCAGCATGGCTGGAGGGGCTGTATGGGGTCCAGACACCGACGCCGTCTGAAGCCTGTTGCTCCCAGGAGCAGCCCACGGTGCAGATGATGGGAGTGAGGGGGAGGCAGGGAAGGGCCCTCACCCGGTACTTGAGGTCACGGATCCTGGGACCTGCAGCTCCAGGACCGTCAGCATTTTGTGGAGAACGATGAGATGTACTCCGTCCAGGACCTGCTGGACGCGCACACAGGCCGCCTCGGCTGCTCGCTCACCGAGACCCACACGCTCTTCGCCAAGCACATCAAGCTGGACTGTGAGGTGGGGCGCCCCCCACCCTGGGGACCGTGGGGCGTCTCTGTCTGCTCCTAGTCCCAAGGGCGGGGAGGGCGGGAGAGCAGCTCGGCCTAGCGTGAGCCTGGCCTCAGGTGCCCTTCGGGCAGGCCTGACCTCCCCCGCACTGTTTCCCCCAGCGGTGCCAGGCCAAGGGCTTTGTGTGTGAGCTCTGCAGAGAGGGTGACGTGCTGTTCCCCTTCGACAGCCACACGTCCGTGTGCACTGACTGCTCTGCTGTCTTCCACAGGTGGGTGTGGCCCTGACCCCACCCTCCGGCCGGGTGCCTGGGCTCCCTTGATTGGAGCCCGTGCTACTGCCACAGTGAGAGGGAGAGGAAGGAGAGGGACACATTTGGGGCTTGGTCTTTGCTGCCTGATTTCAAAGCCCTTTGCCTTAATCCTGACATATGGAGTTCAACCCTGATGTGTGTGACCTAGTTGAAAGTTTCACTGGGAACAAGAACCTGTGGGGCTGGGGAGGGGGTGCTGCAGCCCAGAGCCCGGGTGTGTGCACAGTGTCCGACCTGCTTCTCCCCTCCAGTGGGGCTGAGGTTGCTATCTCGGGTTTAGCATAGGCCAGAGGTTCCTAAACTTTCTAGCTCCTGGCGCCTTTAGTGTCTCGGCGATTTTTTCAAACGTCCCTAGGCCAAAAGAAATACCTAACATTTTTGTTTGCTAAGTACTTAGGCTCAGACAACTTAAGCATTTATGTCCTAAAGACTTAGTGGATGTTTGGAAAAATAATACACAGAAATTGGAAGAAAAACATTTTAATTCTTTAATAAGCACAATTACTGTATGACACATGTGTGCCTGCTGGGCCCTGCACAACTTCTCACACTGGACTCAGATGGGACACCACCACCCCCATTTCTGTGCACACTGATGTTTGCCTGGCACTTGCTGTTTGTCATAGCAACCCTCTGTCATGGCTTTGCAGAGCTGTCACAGAGAGGGCTGTGGCAAAAACTAATGTTGAAACTGAACTCCCTTGAGCAAGCAGTTTGGATGGTATATGACAGATGACAAATATTTCTGTGCCCCTTCAAAAATTTAAACTAGCCCACGGGACCCTGTGCACCTCCTCAGTACCCTGGGGATAAGAACAGGTCAGGAAATCAAGTCACTGAGAGCTCCAAGCAGAACCTTCCTTGTCAGATGGTAACAAGATGGTAGGTGTGGACCCTTTAGCCGGGGCCTGCACCAAGGTACTGGGTCACGGGCCTGGCCGGCACACCTGGGTGCAGACCCCGCTGCTGCCCTTTGGGAGAAACTGCCTCAGTTTCCCTGTCTGTAGAGGGGGATATTGGGACCTGACTTGGGAAGTTTGTGAAGACTCAGTGGTAGAATTTTAGATGCAGAGAGGCCTTCCTGGGCTGACCCCGTGTCCCTGCCTCCAGGGACTGCTACTACGACAACTCCACCACGTGCCCCAAGTGTGCCCGGCTCACCTTGCGGAAGCAGTCACTCTTCCAGGAGCCTGGTCCAGACATGGACGCCTAGAGCCGCGGGCATCCCTCCCCCGCCTGTCTGGTGCCCACCCTCCTGGTCATTGCCAAAGTCAAGGTGTTTCGTGTACTCTGGAGACCCTGAGGTTGCGTCCCCTGGACCTCTCCCCCCTGCTGGGCCGGAGGGGTGTGAGCAGGGACACGAGGACCTTCATCCCCAAGGTGCTTGCAGGGACTCAGGGTGGCTGCACTGGACTGTCTCCTGGGTGTGCTGCTGCAGGGCTCCATGGGCAGGGGAGTGCCTCCCCCATGGCAAACAGCCCCCCATGCCCTTGGGGCCAAGGCTGCTGCGCCTTTCTGCCCTGGAAACGCCAGAGGGCTCTGGGGGAGTGGCCGACAAGACCGAGGCCACCAGCTGCAGGCACCAGGCCTTGGCCTGAGTTTTATCTGCAGTGGATGGTCTGGATTCTGCCTGGAGGCTCCCATCCCCCCGGTCCCTTGTCTCTTTGGGGACCTATGATTGTCCCTGGCTGGGGCTGTTCATGACTGCCTCCCAAGGTTCTTTCTCTCCGGGTCATCCTCCAACAGGGTCAGTCCAGGGGTCACTGGCTTTTCTACACAATGTGGAGGGAAGTGGCCATGGAGCCTCTGCTCCTGCCTCCGCCCAGTCCTGCTTACCCTGGTGCTCTGAGCTGGGTGGCTGGGGTCCAGCTTGAGGACCAGGGACTGTGCCCCCAGGGGAGGTTCCAGGTTAGGCAAGACAGTTGGTTACAGTAGGCCTGGGTGGCATTTCTCTGGACCAAATTTGCCCCTGAGGAGCCCGTCCTGCTGCCACAGTGCCTGCAGAGGGCTTTGGATGGCTCAGAAACCACCAGTCGGGGGGCCCTTTTGTTTGGGGGCCTGAGGTTGGTGCCAGGGAAATTTGCTTGAGGGAGCTCCAGAGGAAGCTTGGGCATGGGGTGTGCGAGGTCCCACGCTCCAGCTGACAAAGGGACCCCTGGACGGAGGATGAGACCCACAGCTCTTCTATGGGGAGCTGCAGCCGGCCTTGGCATTTGCAGGGGCGCTTCGTGCTATGGAGACCCTGTTGTCGAGAGGAGGGCCCTTGGGAAGAGGATGTTTCAGGACACAGCTTCCCAGTCTTGCCTGCCCTTCTCCTCACCTTGGACTGTGCCTGGGTGCTGATGCAGGTGGTTGACATACACAGGTGGTGGGTGGCAGGCAAAGAGCGTAGCTGCCTGGATATCCATCACCTCTGACCAGGAAGCCCAAGAGGAGATGCCTCGGCCAGCAGAACAGTCAGCTTAGCTCACTAGCCGAGGCGAAGGCTGGGTAAAGAGCGTCACCTCTCCTCGTCCCTCTGCACCATCAGGACAGCCCCATGTGGTGGCTTTGGGCAATCCTCTCGCTGTCCTGACCTGCCTCAGTGTGTGACGGTGAGAAGGGAACACAGGTGAGGTCAAGGTCGGGTCAACAACGGGTTCGCCCTCTGCTTCCCTTCTGGGTTGAAGAGGGAGTTAAAGGCCAAGTGCTGTTTTCCTACAGCCCCAGATCTGCACATTTCTCGCCGCTGCCTCATGGTTCTGTCCTAGTTATACTGGCCATTCCTGAATTTACTGTGTAATCAACATTGCATTATTCCAGTTATAATCACCGTGTCATAGAAACATTAGTATGCTGGCATTTGTGGGACAAAGAGTTGGCTCCCCCTCTTTATTTTTCAACTCCCCCCACCCCGTTTCCTCCTCCCCCAACACCTCTTCCCCACCTACCCCTTGTGGATGAAGACTTTAAACAGAATCACGTGTGCATCTTTCTGAGTCCACAGCACAGTAGCAAGAACCCACCGAGGAATCAGTTTGCACAGCCAGCACCTCACAGAGGAGCAGTGAGGGACACCCAGGTGTAACGATGCCATAGCTGCTGTCTTATTAAATCTGTGTTCTCTAGACTTGGGTTGTGTGGTGAACCGGGGGGACAAGGCAGGGTTTGAAGACATACAAACCAAATGAAGGCTTGAGGAAAGCCCACAGCCTTTCCCATCCCATGGGATCCAATGTAATCTGGTTTGGGGAGAGGCACATGTGTGGGAGTCAGACCAAGACCTGAGTGTGCTCTGATTCCTCTCAGCCTCTGTTTCTTCTGTAAGATGGATAAAAACGCACCTTGTGGGGTTGTTTGGGTTCCAGGAAGCATTGAGCACCGACGCTGGAATGCAGAGAATGCTCGAAAAGTAGAAGCTATGTCTGCTTTCCAGTGTCCTCAGTGGAAGAACTGTCTTATTAGCCCAAAGTAAGCAACAAGAAGCTGGCCGGTCATGCAAGTCACAGGTCAAACTCCCAGGACCCACTAAAAGAGCCCTCACTGCAACTCAGGGCCATTCCCATTACCTTTGGACTTCAGGAGAACTGTAAACCACCCTCCCAAGTTACAGTCAAACCTCTGCATATTTACATTTCTCTGCAGATATATGATCTGTGGTTTTGACCAGCATCTCAAAGGGGCTCTGATCCAGAAAACATCTGGAATATGCTTTAGAAGGTGTCTTTACACATCATTCATATCCACTTGCAATCCGGATAGTCTGACAGACTGCAACCCTATGTCTGAAGAAACCAGAGAGCTCTAACGGGACATGTGCAGAAGGGTGGGAGGAAAGGCGTGCACAGGCTGTTGGTGAGCCTGTGCTGGCAAGCTGGAGCGTAGGTCTCCAACTACACATGACTAAAGCTACAATTCCGCTAGTAGATGGAGTGTGCAATCTCCCCCCATGAAATAGTATTTTAACATTTTTATTTTGACAAATTTAGATTTATAGAAATGTTGCAAAAACATTCCTATTTACCCATCTCCTTGATTCTCTAAATGTTAATATTTTGCCCCATTTGCTTTATTCTTCCTCCACATACGCACTTTTCTTTTTTCTGAAACATTTGCCAGTAAGTTGCAGAAATGATGCCCCAGTGCCTCTAAACACTTGTGTGTACTCCTTCTAAACAAGGATGTAAAAGGCCATGGTGCAGTTATCAACACTGATACAACACTATAAAACCTACAACAAACCTATTTAGATTTTTCCATTCAGTTACCATGTCTCTTTAGCCTTCATTAATGTGGAAAGGTGCATGATATTGACATTTTTGAAAAGCACAGGCTAATTAGAGTGAAGAATGTCCTTCAATGTGAGTTTCTCTGATTGGATTCAGGCTTTGCACTTTTGGTGGGTATTCCACAGAAGTGATGCCGTGTCCTCAGTGCAACACCTGTCCCGTTCCTGGAGATGTTGACTTTGATCCTCCTGTCTCCTGTGTCCTTTGACATGTTCCTCTCATTCTTTAGGCACTTGCTTACTTTCTATCACAGCAAGGTGTTGCACACTATCTTGTGCTCTCTCAGTCCCGGCCATGAAACCAGTCATTTCTCCAAGGAGCCCTAGCACCTTTTAGTGGAGAATGGTATTGAGTAAACAACAGGTGGTTGTTGGATGTGCACACTGCCACCAGGCTGTCACTGCTTCTAGGTCCTTTCAACAGAGAGTTAGGAAACGGTACCCCCCTACATCTGTCTCTCTCTATTTGTCTATAAACACATTAAAAACCATGAGTTCACACTGACACTTCCCATTTCAAACTAACATCACAAGATTCATTCTTTCTTTACCTTTTCCATTTACATAATTCCCTTCCCTCACAGTGGGAAACCTGGCTCCACTATCCATAATATATTTATTTGCTCAATTCTAGAATATAGAGAAAGTACTGTCAGCATTGCTAACCTATGCCTCTGTGAAAAGGAAGCCTACTGATGAGTTTAATATTAGAGTTCTTTTTTTGTCTTTAGCCTGAGTGCATACATTCAAACTAGTGTTCTAAATTTACTTGGGTGTGTCTCACCCTTCATTGTGGGTATGTAATTCATGTGAAATAGGGTTCCTCTCATATATTCCATTTTATGTCTTCCCTATCCTCATTTATTTTTGTGTGATATACTAACATGGTTCCAAAAGTCAGAACTTTACAAAAGATACACTTAGTCAAGTGCCACCCCCCCCCCCCCCAGGTAACCAGTCTCTTTAGTCGCTGGTTTCTCCTTCCTGTGTTTCTTTTTGCACAAATGGGTAAGATATGTGTATATTTTATCTCCCCTTCTTTCTTCCACAAAATGTAGCATACTATACTCTTGCATGTTGCTTTTTTCAATTAATAGTATATCCTGGAAACCACTCCACATCAGTTCATAGATTTCTCATTTTGTTATTATTGTTGTTGTCATCGTTTATGTGTTTTATATTTCATTGGGTGGAATTGCTATTTCACAATCGACCATTCTTCTATATGTGAATATTTAGGCTGTTTCCTAGCTCTTGCAGTTACAAACAAGGCTGCAATGAATAATCTGTGCACATGTATTTTCTTTTTTTGGAGACGTATCTTCAGGGTACAAACCTGCAAGTACGATTGCTAAATCAAAAGAAATCTATTTTTTATTAGTGTCTAATGCCCCTCCATAAGGGTTGTACCAATTTGCATTCCTCCCAGCAACGTATGAGAGTGTCTGTTATACCACAGCCTCACCAACAAAACGTGGAGTCATACTTTTTGATTATTTACTGGTCTGATTAGTGAGAAATGGTATTTGTGTAGGCTTAATTTGCATTTCTCCCTTTATGACTGAGATTGAACTTATTTTCATATGTTTCAAGATCTAATTTATTCATGAATTATATCTTTTGTCCACTTTATTAGGTTTTGGTTATTTTTTCTTCTCAATCTTTAAGAATTCTTCACGTATCAGGGATATTAGCCCATTATCTGAGATATGTTGCAGATATTTTCTTCCAGTTTGTCAACTGCCTTTGACCTTGTTTGTAGTGTTTTTTCCCCTGTGGAAAAGTTTTGTTTTGTTACATTTTTATATGGTCAAACTGATTACTCTTTTTATTTCATCTGGATTTTGTCATAGAAAAATCTTTACCTACACCCAGGTCAAAGAGGCATCCATCCACGTGTCTTTGTAGTACTTGCATGGTTTCAATCTTTACATTTAGATCCCTAAACTCTTTATTTATTCTTGTGCATGCTGTGAGGTACGGATCTTATTTTATTTTTCTTGAAATGGTTAACAGTTGTCCAGCACCATTTAAAAAAAAAAGTCTATCTGCATCTATTTCTGGATTTTTTATTCCAACACGTCTACTATACTGCTTTAATTACAGAGGCTTTATAGTGTGTTTTAACATCTAGAAGGGCTAGTCTCGTAGTTTTTCTTTTCTTAAACATTTTTTTTTAATTTAATTTTTTTCCCCCAAAGCCCCAGTAGACAGTTGCATGTCATAGCTGCACATCCTTCCAGCCGCTGCACATGGGACGTGGCCCCAGCATGGCCGGACAAGCAGTGCGCCTGTGCGCGCCCGGGATTCGAACCCGGGCCGCCAGCAGCGGAGTGCGCGCACCCAACCGCCAAGCCACGGAGCCGGCCCCTTCTTTTCTTAAAGAAATGTTTTTCTGGGTATTCTTGCATGCAATCTTTTTAAAGCACATATTTAAATAAAATTTTAATGCCAAAATTTGATACTCTCAAGTGTCAAAACGCAAATACCAGAAACAGGGCTTCCTGGGAAGTTAAGGATCTGGAAGCAGAGAGGTCTGGCTGGGCCTCATCGCTGAGGTCATCTTGTTGCTTCTGGCTTTACTTTGACTTTTGGTTACAACACTTAAAAACGACCTAAGATAGTTGCTTTGAGCGCTGCCTCTTCTCATGTTACAATTCCCTGTAGCAGCTGATTGCATCATTGATTACTCTTGAAACTTTCACTTTCCACTCAGCATTAGGGCTGTTACTGGTAAGGACCTGCAAGCCAGCCTCGAAATGTGAGAAGGCAGCTGACAGTGCTCCTGTGGTTAGTTGACGCAGGGAGGGTGGTGCATCTTCACTCTCCTCCTCTCCTGCTGGCTCCTGTTCCAGCTGCATCAGCTCCTCATTTGAGAGAGCTTCCTCATGGGACCGCAGCAACTGGTCCACATCAGCTTCTACAACCTCTCCAAAAGCCAGGTTCTTGGCAAGGTTAACAATTTTTTGTTGAAGCTGTGCAATGTTATCTGTTTGGCAAACACTCTGGAACTGAACACACTCGGGCCAAATCTTCTTCCATACACTGTTCATTGTTGCTGGTCTGAGCTCCTCCCAAGGTACTGCAATGCTGTCCACAGCATCCATGATGTTGTAGTTTCTCCAAAACTCCCTGATCATAGCTGTATCCTCCCCATCTGTTGCTTCTAGGATGTGCTCAAAAGTCCTTCTCAAGTAATGAGCTTTGAAGGCAGAGGCTACCCCTTGACTCATGGGCTGGATCAAGTCAGCTGTATTGTCATGAAGATATTCCACTCTTACGTTATCAGCCAGATCACTCAAATTTACTGGATGGCATGGCGCATTGTCTAGGATAAGCAATGCTTTGTTGGTGAGATTATTTTGGGCACAGTATTTTTCAACAGCAGGGCAAAAAAAGTATGTGAACCATTCATGAAAGATGCTCCTGGTTGCCCAGGCCTTTTTGTTGGAGCACCAAATCACAGGCAAATTGGGCTTGGAGTACCCCTTCAGAGCCCTGGGGTTTTCCAAGTGGTACACCAATAAAGGCTTCAACTTAAAAGTCCCCAGCTGCATTGCCACCAAGAAGCAGCATCAAGCGATCTTTGGATGACTTAAACCCTGGCTCAGCTTTCTCTTCCATGGAAATAAATGTTCCTTCAGGCATTCTCTTCCAATAAAGCCCTGTCTCATCTATGTTAAAAACTTGCTGGGGGGTGTACTCACCTTCTTCAATGATGCCTCTCAGCACTTCTGGATACACGGCCTTGTGGCCAGGAGCTGTGTTGTTCATCTTGAAGTGGGGCAAACAATGGCGCTCCTTGAATCTCACAAACCACCCTTTACTTGCACTGAAGGTTTTTGTTCCAGAGCTTACACCTTGTTCACGCTGTAAGTCATCAAACAAACTCTTAGCTTTCTCCTGAATGATGGTGACACTCAGGGGCACATTTCGCTGGCTCTGGTCTTCGAGCCACACACGCAACAATTGCTCCATGGTTTCCATGACTGTGCTTCGATGGCGAGTCAGTCGAGTGGCTCTCAAGGGAGTAGCTATTTGTGAACTTGCTTTGATTTTTTCTTTATGTCTCTGATTGTTGCCACTGTAGAGACGGCAAGGCCTAAGGCCTTTGCGAGTTGGCTGAGCTTTTCACCTGCTTCTAATCGTCTTAACACTTGTAATTTTACGTCGAGGGTAATTGCTTTCCGTTCCCTTTTGGCACTCGGGATGACCGCTGCACTTAGGGGCCTTTTCCCAGGCATCCTTGCTTCCAAAATGTAATAAAATCGCAGCTGTCTCGGGTGCAAGAAGGCCCGCGGTTACTCCGTGCTCCCTCACAAAACCTGGGAAAGAGAAAATGGAGCTGCGAGGAGGCGCAGGCTGACGTCCCTGTAGAGGTGGAAGGGTCACCACAGGCCTGCCCAGCCCCACCGCCAAGACACAGGCTGGTTCATACTTGACCCTAAGGCGGGCGGCGTGGGCCTCTGGCGTCGATCGGCGTCCAAATTCCTGGACAGCACAGCTGCAGGTGTCCGTGATCCAGAGGACAAACAAAAACGCGTGGAGGGGAATAATACTGTGTAGCATACACGAGTCGGCTCTTTTGTTCACGAAGGGCAGCGGAGCAACAGTCCAACCCCCACACAGTACAACCACTGACGCCCGCCGCAGCCGGCGGGACGGGGCGGGACAGCGGCCGGCAACCGCCTTTGTGAGCCGCTGCCCATGGAGGACCCCGGAGACACGTGTCTTTGGAGATGCCTGACTTAAAATAAGTCCAAAGGCGCTGGGTGTCTTCTTAGCCCTTGGCCTCAGTCGGTCGCTGCGGTTTCTGCGCTCAGCTGCCTGGGTAGAGCAAGGTTGCGCTCCTGTTCTGATCCTTAGAGAGTCAGGCGATAAAGTAGACACCTAAAGACACCCGACCCGGGGCCGCGCCTTTACTACGCACGAACTAGGCCTCCCCTAGCCCGCTGGGGCCGGCCGGGGGGTGTGGCGTCACTACAACCTGTTTGTGGCTGCCTTGCGCATGCGCGCGCCCCAGCGGCGCGAGCCTGGGGTGGGGAATGCCCCACTGGCTGGTGGCAGCGGCCGGTAGTCCGGCGGTTGCCGGGCCGCCCGCCGTGCGGTGGCGATGCGGCAGTGGGCCAGGAGGCAGGAGGATGGCCGGGACAGGCGTGAGGATCCTTGGAACCGCCCGGCAGGTGAGCAGGGAGGCGCTGCCTGCCGGTTCGGGGCGGCGGGGGCGGTGGCTGCACGCAACGCCGAGGTGACGCCATCCGGGTGCGCCGGCCGGCGCGGGGCGCGGGTTAGTGGGGCCAGGGGAGCGGGGTCACGGGGGAACGGGGTGGG